TCCCTGCTGGTTGTAGTTAATAAAATCTGATTCAGTTCATAAATTGTCCTATGGCTTGCCTAAGTGTTAGACGAAAACTTATAGGCATGATATCTACTGATTTAGAAAAGATGAATTATACTGATTTTAGAAAAGGTTGTCAATTATTCAGGAAAGACAAGTTTTGACAAAAGATCATAAATTCTGCAGACATTAGACATTGTTGTTACTGGTTTTAGACTTATAAGCGAGTGAAACATTTCAGACTTGGTTGATAGTTCCTATTGGCATGCTTTCCATGCGTTGCTGATTTTAAAAAAAACTTTTGGACATAATAAGAATGCAGAAACCCTATAGGCATGACATCTAATTGTAGTTGATTTTTAGAACCTATAGGTATGGTCTCTACATGCATAAGTCACGATATCTACATGAAATTGTAGGGTCCCTATAGTCATGGTATCTAAATGAGAATGCTGAAGTTCCTATAGACGTGGTAACTAAATGAGAATGAAGAAAATCATATAGACATGGAGACAAAATGCAAAAATCCTATAGGCATGGTAGCTATATGAAAAATGAAGAAATTTTATAGGCATGGTAGTTATATGAAAAAATGCAGAAATCTTATAGACATGGTAGATGAATGAAAAATGCACGAATCTTATAGGCAGGTTATCTACCCTTTTTTACATGCATGGTTACCCTTCACTTTTCACTAACCATCCTGAAAGGTTATTACAAGTTATTATAGTCCAAATAAAATAAAGAAAAAATACATCAGAAATTGAAAATTACAACCAATGAGAGCCTGATTCAGACTTCCTGTCTGAAGTATGAAGTAAACCAACTCCAAAGATCATGTTTCAAAGCCTTTCTCCTACTTGGGTATGTCAGAGTTCCCTAAGAGTTTCATAAGAACTCCGTGTAGTGCTTACACCTAAATGTATCACCATATTAAGCCAAAGTGCAGTATGGAAGGGCCAGCCCTTAGGCATCCAAGTTCAGAGGGAACTCAAAGTCCCAAGGCAAGACTCACAAGAGGGGGGGGGGCAAAACTTAGAAACTAAGAGAGAATGTAAGTGCAGAATTCTGAAAGGGGAAAAGGGAAAAGGAAACAACACACATGGGGATATAGGGAATGAGGAGTTGCAAGAGATAAAAAAAAGCAGGCTAGTGGGCATAACCCAACAATGGGAGATGCTGGCACAACCATAAGCCTACAGGAACACATTGTTTAGAGGTTAGGATCCCCTAAGGGATCAAGTTCAATCCATAGACAATAACTTGTATATTGCCCTGTCTTAAACTGTAACTCAAAGCACATAAAGGGAAATAGGGAATAGGGATTCATAGCAGAAATAATCAAAAGGGAATCAACATGCTAGTTTAAGTATTTAACTCTGCAGAAGTAGTAAAGTAGACATAGATACAGAAAGCTGTAAGTAAACACATTGTGGGGATGCTGAAATTTAAAATTAGAACATACCAGTTTCAAAGAAACAAGTAGAGAAAAATGCAGTAGTCTGGCAAAAACCTCAGCACAGACAAGAAGAGAGAGTTACATTATGTGAGTAAGAGTTCAGAAGAGATTGTGAATTGTGTTGTCTGCCGTGTGAAGAAAGGTCATGCCCTTTTATAGTCTAAAAACCAAGTAGAAATAAGGTAAGAAATAATTGAAGAGCTGATTATCAATCAATTACACAAAACTCCCTTTAGTTAAGGGATTCAGATTCAAACGGGTATAAACCAATTAAGGAAAGAAATTAATCAAACACTTTGTGCAAAGTAGGCAATTAGGGGTGAATACATAAAAGTTATTTAAGGACGGGGTTTTTGAAATACACGGTTTGTGCGAACAAGGTAAGAAGATCAATTAACAACCAGTAAATCAAAAGGGTCTGAGATTTTGTATGAATGAACCGAGTCAAAAGATAGGAAAGGTTTTTAACTTAAGGGAAATCAGCAAACAATGGAAAGGGAATCAATTAGACCCATATTCAGAGGGAAGTAGGAACTAATCACAAATTCAGAAGCTATTTTAAAGGGAAGTCTATCATATATAAGGAGCATACAAACATGTTAAGCATGAAGGAAGACTGTAATGTCATTGTAAAGTCAGTAGAAAATCCAATATAGAAAAGTTTAGCAAAAGTTCAGAGTCGTATGAAAGCAAGAAATGGGTCTGAAAGAGTTAGGGGTTTTGAAATAAACCCTAAGTTCAATCAAATCACATAATCAAGCTTGGAGGAACCCCCAAATTCTAGGGTTTCCACACTGAATCAAGTACAGAGATGAGAAGGCAAGTAGTTGAAACAGGCTCAGAGGTTTCAGAGTTGAAACCTCTTACATGCTTCATTCATCAACAGAAACTCATGAGAAAAACATGATAGCAAAGTAACATGCGGAACATAGTAGAAGCACTCAAAAGAAAAACACTGATAGGAACAGTAAAAGAAACATGCTTAAGAGATTTTTTAGAAGAAACATAAACAAGGCTTAATAAAAGGAAAATAAGGAAACATAAGAACTTAGCAGGAAAATACAGTAGGAGAAACATGCTAGAACATAGTAGAAGACAAAAAATATAAGAACACAGTAGAAAAGCATATGAGAGCATAATATGGAAAACATGGTAGAAGAACATACAAGCATGGAGTATATAAAACTCAGTAAAAGAACATACAAGAACGGAGTGTAAAAACTCAGTAGAAGAACATACAAGAACGGAGTGTAAAAACTCAGTAGAAGAACATATAAGAACGGAGTGTAAAAACTCAATAGAAGAACATATAAGGTAGAATAAAACATAAGAACACAGTAGAGGCAAATAAACACAAAAGACAAAGGAGAGAAAGTCAGAGAAACACTTAAACATTTTCAGAAAACCCTAGATCGGAAACAAAGCGGTTTTAAAAGTAATTTTTGAAAGAAAAGTTAGGGAAATCGTTTGAAAACACAAGGAGAGCACAGATACACAATGGATATAAGAAAATCGGAGAAAACCTCTAAGGGTTAGGGTTTCAAAAGAACCCTAGAAGTGAGATAGGCTTTGAAAGGTCACCGATCTGAGTCGGAGAGGTCAGAATCAGGCTCAAACCACCATGGTACGCCGGAGTAAAGCCGGAAATGGCCGTGGAACCTTGAATCGACTGTAGTCTAGGTGCAAACCTTGGAGGTCAGGCCTCGAATCTTCAGGTATCAGGCACTCCCAGAGCCTGAGAAGCCATGGATTCCGGTGGGTTTCAAGGTGAAGGTGGTGGTAAGAGGCGGTTAGGGTTTGGAAATGCTTGAGAGAGTTTGAGAGAGTTTAAGAGTTCAGAGGCAGATCGTAGGTGAGAAATGAGAAGGTTAGGGTGGTCGTTTAGATTAAAAAAGGTAAGAGTGAATAGGGGTTGTTGATCTCAGAGATCAATGGCCAGGATGAGAGGGGTCTGGGTCTGGTAGGATTTAATCGGGTCAGGGGCGGGTTTAAATTAAAATTGGGTTGGGGAATTGAGATTGGGAATTGGGTTTATTTGGGGGTCAAATAAGGCTAAAATTGAAATAAATGGGGCTTACATTTAAATAGCCATTTTTCCCTTATTTATTTTATAAAAATAGTAAAATAATTTTTGGAAATAAATTAAAGGAAATAATAATTAATAATATGTAAATATTAAATTAAAAATACTGGAATCAAATTTGTAATTATAGATATAATTAAATCTTAAAATAGGCTAAAATTTCAATCATATGCAATTTAAGTTTAAAATGATAAATAAATCTGTAAAAAATGTGCAAAAATTACCTTAGTTATATTTTGGTATAAATATGAGAATTTAATAAAGGAGTTACCAAAAATGATAATTTGGGAAATAATTATTGGGTTTTTCTGCTAAAATAAGTTGATAAATTGATTTAAATTTTTTTAAAAAAATGGAAAAATAATAAAACTCTTGGTCATGCTTATATATGCATACGTATGCTATTTAGAAAGTATTTTGCATATGAAATATATAAAGGGAAAAAACTGGGTATCAACAGGGAGTGGAGACCCTATGTCTTAAATAAAATCAACTAGGGAGTGGAGACCCTATGTTGGAAAAGCGACTAGGGAGTGAAGATCCTATGCCTAAAATAAATTCAACTAGGGAGTGGAGATCCTATTCCTAAAATAAATTCAACTAGGGAGTGGAGACCCTATATTGGAAAATCAACTAGGGAGTGGAGACCATATGTCTTAAAATAAAATCAACTAGGGAGTGGAGACCATATGTTAAAAAGGCGACTAGGGAGTGGAGACCCTATGTTGAAAAGGCGACTAGGGAGTGGAGACCCTATGCCTCAAATAACTTAAACTAGGGAGTCAAGACCATATGTTGGGAAAGCGACTAGGGAGTGGAGACCCTATGTCTAAAATAAAATCAACTAGGGAGTGGAGGCCCTATGCCTAAAATAACTTCAACTAGGGAGTGGAGATCCTGTAGACATGTGATTTTTGATCCTCCCCAATATTTTTTATATTTTAGCATGTAAATATTTAATTTAGGCCTAATATAGCTATTTCAACTATTTTTAACTTCTTTACTTTATTTTCGTCATAAAAATGGAAAATTACGAAAAAATATATTTTTAGCTTACGTATCTTTCATAAATTTAAATAAAAATATACAAAAATAGTACTTATTTTTATCTTTATATAATTTTGAAAATAAAAAAATATATAATAGTTTCATGTTAGCCTTTGGCATGGGGTAGTATTTTTATCTTACTTTAAAATGAGTCAATTAAGGTGTTGGATCATAATTTTAAAAGTTTTAGAATCCAATTCTTGGCCCAAATCGGATTAGTCCATTAAGCCTAGGGACCCTTCTAGACTCTTCTTTGGAATAAAAAAAACAAATAAAGAGGACCCTAAGGACTTAACACAAAAGACATAGGGATTAATGAGCAAAATACACAAAGATACACCTAGATCTAGACTATACCTATAAATTAGTGCTTAAAAAAATCAAAAAAAAAGGGAAAAGACAAAAAAAGTTGAGAAAGGCTGCACAGACAAATGGCGGATCTGAGAGGCCCCCCCTCCCCCCTGAATTTTTTCTTCTTCACACCCTCACGCCAAAAGCTATAGATCCCTCGTTTTGTTTTTTGCTTCATCTCCGGCGAGTCAATGCAAAAAATCTGGCCAGTCATCGGACCCCTTATGAATCCTTAGAGCTCGAAGTTTACTTTATTGGCAAACCAGTGGTTTTTCCAGCAACTCATTCGACCTTTTCTTTGGATTTCAAGCTTCTTTGCGTTTCAGCCTTGCTCCTCCATTTGGTACTTCTGAAAATTTAAAGGAGTTGTTGTTGTTTGTTGTTAATGTTGTTTGTCTGCCGACCTCTCTTGTATGGCGTCCCGTTAATTAGAAATTGACTGAATCCGACCTGGGTTTTGAGGTGATTTCCTGGGTTGTTTTGATGTTCTGTTGCTGCTTCTCACTCGAACAAGAGCTGGGATAAATCCTTTCCGTTTTGATTTTTGTTTTGGTCAAAATTCTGTTATTCCTATGCAATTAACCTCTGTTTTAGCGTTCAAGCTTCTTTGCATTCCAGATTTCCATTTGAAGTTCGAGTCTGCCGACGAGAACGTTTCTGTGCTTCATTTGCTTCCGAATTTTGGCTTTTGAGTGTGGTAATGGAGTTAAGTCAAGGATGATTCCGGTTCAAGTTTCCGGGGAGGTTCGACTTGAGACCGTTGTTCTTCGTTTCCGGTTTGAGGTTCGAGTTTCAATTTTTTCATATACATGTTTTTGAGTCAATTTAGTGTTTGATTGCATTTGGATGTTAGATGTTGTTGTTGTTCATGTCATAGTAGAATGTTTGAAATATTTGCTTCCATTTGTTCATGTCATTTGTTAAGTGTTTGAAATATTCTTCTATTTTTTGGCGTGTATGGTACTTAACTGTTTGTATATTATTTTCAAAGAAATTTCCTAGTTTGATTAGAAACCAATCCGTTAGTAAACTAATTAAGAAGAAATAGCAGAACTAGGGTTGTTGATATAGTAGTAGGTACAGGGGAATCTTGTGGATGATTTGTTGAGATGAGTCCTAGGGTTTGGGATTGTTTGCTAGTTTGCCTTTCCTACAACCAAATCTATAATCCATTTAGCAAATTTCATGGCCCTCGCAAAATTGCAAATGCGCAATTGCTTTAGGCGCATTAGTTTAGTAATATTACCTTCTTAAATTCGGGTGCGCATTTATGTGACCCAAATCCAAATCTCAACAATGTTCAAATATGTCGAAAGCCACGGGTGCATTTATGTGGCGTGGTTCGAGGCGTGTTTTAATAACATTGCAATTTTCTTTTTAAAAATGAATAAAAGCGGTTAATAAGTTAAAATTCAACCATAGGCTAAAACATGTACTAAAATCAGATAATTAAGCCGAATACAATAGTTGAGTGACCGTGCTAGAACCACGAAATCCGGGAATGTCTAACACCTTCTCCCAGGTTAACAGAATTCCTTACCTGGATTTCTGGTTCGCGGATTGTTAAATAGAGTCAATCTTTTCCTCAATTCGGGATTTGAACCGGTGACTTGGGACACCATAAATTATCCCAAGTGGTGACTCTGAATTTCAATAAAATAATCCCGTTTCGATTGTCACTTTAAATTGGAAAAAACTCCCTTATATACTCCCTTCCGGGGGTGTAGGTAAAAAGGAAGTGTGACAGCTCTGGCGACTCTGCTAGGGATCGAACCCAGAATCTCTGGTTCAGGGTTCAAGAATTCGAGCTTAGATGAATTGTTATATTTGGTTTTATCTGTTATCTGATTTTATTACATGTTTGAGCCTAATGTGCTAAATGTTGCTTGTTACCACTTTGATATTATCTGAACTGTATATATACACTGCTACGAAACCCCTCTCTTCTCTCTCCCGAGGAGTGCATGTTGGTCGTGACTTCTTTCTGTTAGTGTCATATCCCAAATAGAACGAGGTTCGAACAAGTTGCAAAGCCGGATGTTCTTTTGGTTACCGATACGCAACCCCCCCTCGGCTCGAGTTGTCCGCTCGGGTAAGCCAGGTCTAGAACAAATAAACCCATGTTTTAAACCTAGTATAACAAGACCTCATGCTGGATCCCTAGTGGGAACACTTGTTTGCATCATGTGCATTTTGACTTTGGGGACTCAACACAGGGGTTGGGTCCGTCTACTACAGGTGTACCCAAAATAACAGACCATCTTGATGCATCATATGTGCTACATGTTGCATTTCTTCGAGGGTAAAATGGTCATTTGGCGGACTAATGATAGTTGAGGGCAAATGAAAAATGAAAAAGAAAAAAAAGAAAAAGAAAAGAGAGAGTGAAGTGTGAAGTTAAAGCGAGTTGGGCCCAATTATGTTGTTAAAAAAAGAGCTTGAAAATTAAAAAAAAAAATTGCACTTTTTCAGCATTTTCCGAAAATCAGAAAATCAAAAAAAACAAGAGAAAAAGAAAATCCAAAAAGATTTTGCATGTTTCATCATTTATCAAGAAAAAGCAAAAAAATATATTTTCTCTAAATTAGTTATTTTTTTTAATTCTCGCCTGTATCCAATATGCCCGAACTACGCATACTTGATTCTCGTCTTTCGGGGCGTGATACGTAGGCAACCCATATAGGGTCCGATCTTCCTAGTCTTAGGTTCCTGGCTTCGAGGGCCGTAGCCAAATCTTGTATCTCTAGCCACTTTTGATCACATTGGCCATTTTTACAAAATATGGCTATTTTCGCAAAGTGATTTGTTTAATTGTCTGAAGAGTCTTGATTCCACAATTAGGTGCCTCTTTACTTTAAGGTCTGTCCTTGTCGAATTTGTTTTCTATGCTGCTAAAGCCTTTCTTTGTTTTAATGATTGTGAGTTCAAAATGGGAAAGAGGAGAGTTGAGGTTCGGCATACGTGCTGCTGTTACAAGTGAAGAATACTCATTGGATGGAGCTATAGAAATTTCTCAGCTTCCTAGAGGTGACAACTGGTCTGTTCATAAATTTAGCGGTATCTGTGTGGGAACCTCTGATGGAATTCGCAACGTTGATAATGTAATAATTCAGGATCGATCATAAAGAAAGTTGGTGGTTGTGTCTGCAATGTCAAAAGTCACAGATATGATGCATGATCTGATTCAAAAGGCCCGGTCACGAGATGACTCGTACCTTAATGCATTGGGTGTTGTTCTAGAAAAACACAAATTGACTGCTATTGATCTACTTGATGGGGATGATCTTGCTAGTTTCTTATCTCGTCTTCATCATGACATCAACAGCCTAAAAGCCACGCCCCATGCAATATATATTGCTTAATTGTATTGCAGCTGGTCATGCAATAGAATCTTTCTCTGATTTTGTTGCTGGGCATGGAGAGTTATGGTTTGCTCAGTTGTTGTCATCCGTTGTCAGAATGAATGGTGTAGAGTCTACATGGGTGGACACAAGAGAGGTGCTCATTGTGAACCCAACGAGCTCTAATCAAGTTGATCCAGATTATCCAAAGTTTGAGGAAAGACTTGAGAAATGGTACTCTAAGAATCCATTAATGACTATCATTGTCACTAGTTTTATAGCTAGCACTCCCCAAAATATTCTTACCACTTTGAAAAGAGATGGAAGTGATTTCTCTGTAGCTATCATGGGGGCATTGTCTAAAGCATGCCAAGTCACAATTTGGAAAGATGTTGATGGTGTCTATAGTGCTGATCCAAGAAAAGTAAGTGAGGCCGTAATACTGAAGACACTATCTTATCAAGAGGCGTGGGAAATATCATATTTCGGTACAAATGTCTTGCATCCACGGACAATTGTTCCAATGGTGCAATATGACATTCCTATTGTTATAAAAAGTATCTTTAACCTCTCTACACCTGGAACAATGAACTGCCGATCCACTGATAATGAATAGGAGGATGGACAACGATCAATATTCCCCGTCAAAGGATTTGCAACAATTGACAATGTGGCTCTAGTGAGTGTTGAGGGAACCTGAATGGCTGGTGTTCATGGTACAGCTAGTGAGATTTGTGTTGCGGTAAAAAATGTTGGTGCTAACGTAATCATGATATCCCAGGCTAGTAGTGAGCATTCAGTGTGCTTTTCTATGCCTAAAAAAGAAGTGAAGTTTATTGCTGATGTTTAGAGTCTGGGTTTGGTCAGGCTTTGAGTGTCGGGAACCTTTCTACAGGTGTAGATTTACTTATCGGAGTTGGAGCATGACGAAGCCCCAGGACATCTAGTCAGGATTGCTCATTCAGGGTTGGATTAAAAGAAGATTTTCTTTTCTTTTGTTTATGTTTTGAGTCTGTTTTTATTTTTATGTTTTCTTTTACCTTTTAGTTTTGTATAGTAATGTCGAGTTTTATTATTACTATTGTACCTTCTATTTTGCATTTGAAAAGGTGTGTAATAAATCAAAAATAAAAAAAAGATTTTGTATTTTATATTTCCGTTGGGAATTTTCTTTAGAATACTAATTGTAGAAACGAAAAAATATATTTTTAAGGAGGTTTTTCCTTTAGGCAATTAATATATAGAACTTAAGATAAAAATTATTTTATATTTCCTTTACTATATTAGGACCAAAAATTCAAAAAAAAAAGAGAATTTTCTTTAGTACCTCTTTAAAAGTTTTTTGTTAAGATATTAAATCCAAAAATCCAAACGATTTTCTGTTGAGTTTTTTCTTTGGGAAATTGATGAAAAATGACTTGAAAAAAAAATCTTTTATTTTTATTAGAACTTTAGGACATTGTACATATAAGAAAAAAAAACAACAATACTTTTTCTTTGGTATATTTTCAGAGTTTCTTGCTTAGGTAATCAAAAATTCAAATCCAAAAATAGTTTTTTTATCTTTTTCATGTCTTGTTTCGAAGTCTTTTCTTCAGGATATCAAGTAAAAATTTAAAATATTTTTCTTTGGTCTAGCCTTTAGATTTCCTTCTTAAAAAAGAAAAAATATCAAAAAAAAAATAATATATTTTTTCTCTTGTAAGGATTTTCCTTAATAATTTCTCATAGAGTATTTGTTTCAAAAAGAAAAAATATGTGCTCATTAAGCTTGAGTTTAGAATAGATTATAGAGCATTCAGTCTAGAAAATTCAAAAAAAAAAAATTGCTTCTTTTATTTCCTTTTTCTCATCAGAGTAGTCATTAAAAAAAGAAAAAGAAAAAAGAGAACGTTAGTTTGTTTCCTTTATTCCCAATCTTCCAGAACTGCGCAAAGATCTGATTCATGCGGGGCCATGATACGTAGGCAACCTACGTAGGGTTCGATCGAATCATTTTTTATTATTATTAAAAGAAAAAAAAAGAGAGATAAAAGAAAAAAAAAAGGGTGAAATTATGGGATGTGAGAAATGAGAAAGAAGAAAAAGAGCGATAATCAGAAAGAAAAGGGGAAGGAAAATGAGAGAGCTAAGAAGTGCGAGAAAAGAAGAGAAAAGAGAATATTCAAATGGATAAATTGGGATGATGCCAAGTGACCTTAAGACCCTCGAAGTCATTCTGGAATCATTAATTGTTATTAGGTGCATTGCACACAATGTGATATTATATTATGTTAAATGCCCTAATGCTAACGTGATGACTTCATTTTGTTATATTCATAGCAGAAGGGTGGTTGTTTTGTGGTTTTAAAGGGGTAACTCTTCTCTACAACATAAAGTCAAAAGGCAATGGCAGACAACAACAGAACTAAGTTGGTTGATACCGGTGCCCGAAAGCAGTTGGTTGAACAGGACAATAGGTTGGTTGAAGAGGTAAAGATGTTATGACAACACATGGAGGACATGTATCAGGCTTGGATGTCTGGGAAGGCACCACCCCCGCTACCACCTAG